CTCTGTGCAAAACCACTTCACACAGTAGGTAAGTATAGACATGTTTGTTATTTTACAACAAAAAAAAATTAACCTTTAGTATAGTTTTAATGTGGAAAATGCATTAAGGTAAAATAACCTTCTGCATTTAGAACCACTTTAATTTCATCATGGAAGTTGTGTGCATTGTCCCAGGCTCAGGTTTCCCACTGATAAGTAACATTTGAAACACTGAAAAAGAAGGCTGAGAAATGCTGGGCTCTATGTTAGAAAGTTTTTTTGGAAGGAGCGAATTTTTAATCAAATAATACATACTTATTCTTCAAATAAAGTGTGCGGTGAGTCAGGGGTTACTTACTGTTTTTTATTTTTACTTGTTTTGAGTAGCTTTATCTTGCTTATAAGCTGTGTTAAACTCGTGTGGTTAGAAAAACAGTTGATATGCTCATGTACAAAGGAAGGTAAAAAACGTTTCTGACTTCAGAATTATTTTAAGCAGTAGCAATCGTGTGACAAGGGTCACTGTGAAAGACTATTTCTGGGGATGCTCTAATACATTTTTTTTTGCCTTGTGGATCACCAGAGAGAAAAGTGCCATTGTTAATAATGTGCCTAATCACCTTTGTTCTTTTCATATTTCTTGTATACAGAAGCGTCTCTAGGGTTGGTGTCAGCCGGTGCAGTAACACTTGGTGACACCCCCTCCGACGAGCCCTGCAGAATGGATCGGATCTGCAGATTGAGCATAATGGATTGGACTCCGATCCATTATGCTCAATCCACAGATCCGATCCATCCTGCGGGGATTGTCGGCTTTCTTTACAACTTATCTTTTCTTGGAGCGGGTCCGGTGTCACCCCGTATAGGTTGCATGCAGACGATCCCCGCATGATCGTCGGCATGCAACCTATACAGGGTGACACCGGACCCGCTTCAAGAAAAGGTAAGTTGTAAAGAAAGCCGATGATCCCCACAGGATGGAATCAGATCTATCCTGCGGGGATCATCGGCTCGCTTTACAACTTACCTTTTTGTGGAGCCCGGTGTGACCCCGTGCGGTCGGTGTTACCGGTGCGGACCGCACCCCCTGCACCTGCCTCAGGATGCCACTGCTTGTATATGTAACTTCTGTCATAGAACTTTAATAAAGTCTTACATACTCAACCACCCCATCTCAATTAATGGTCACACTTGACAACTAAATGATATTACTTTTCACTGGTCTTCTATGTTGACAGTCTTTAACCAATTTGGTTAGGCTGTCTACCTCCTGGCTAATCCCTGGCTGATGGTAGTGCTTCAGTGTTAGTACCTTCTGTCTTGTTGTACCAGCAACAACAGTGCTGTGAAAAAGTATTTGCTTTTGCCTTCCTTGTTTTTTTTTGTTTTGTTTTTTTTGCATATTTGTCACACTTAAATGATTCAGATCATCAAACAAACTTTTTTACACAAATATAACCCGAGTAAATACAAAATGCAGCTTTTAAATGATGGTTTCATTTATTAAGGGAAAAAAGCTGTCCAAACCTGCCTGGTCCTTATGTGTAAAAGTAATTACGCCCTAAACTTAGTAACTGGTTGTACCACCCTTGGCGGCAACAACTTCAGTCAAGTGTTTGTGATAATTGGCAATGAGTCTTTTACATTGCTGTGGAGGAATTTGGCCCACTCTTCTTCATAGAATTGTTTTAGTTCAGCCATACTGGAGGGTTTATGAGCACGAACAGCCTGTTTCACCTCTTCAAGTCCAGGCACTTTCACCCCCTTCCAGTCCAGGCCAATTTTCAGCTTTCAGTGCTATCACACTTTGAATGACAATTGCACGGTCATGCAACACTGTACCCATATGAAATTTTTAGCATTTTTTTGAGACAGATAAAAATTTATTTTGGTGGTATTTATTCACCACTGGGAGTTTTATTTTTTTGCTAAATAAATGAAAAAGACCAAAAATGTTGATAAAATTGTGTTCTTCTTATACAATTTTGCAAATAAACAATCATTCTTCACAATTCGTGGCCAAAATGTATTCAGCTATCTTTTTGGTAAAACAAAAAAAAAACAAATTAGTTTATAAAAAATTATAATTTAAAACCTTTTACATTTTTATTGTATTTTTTTTATATTATTGTTTATGGGTTTTTTTTATATACTTTCGCCTTGAAACTTCTGTGGATGCCATTTTTGCCCAGTGTCTTTCTTATTGTTGAATCATGAACGCTGAACTTAACTGTGGCAAGTGAGGCCTGCAGTTCTTTAGATGTTGTTCTTTTTGATCTCCTGGATGAGTCGTTGTTGTGCTCTTGGAGTAATATGGGTAGGCCGGCCAATCCTGGGAAGGTTCACCACTGTTTTCCTTAGAAATGGCTTTGTAACCCTTGCCAGACTGATACATGTCAATTACTATGTTTCTCATCTGCATCTGTTTCTCATTTTTAGATTGCGGCATGATGTGTTGAAATTATGAGATAGCATGCTTTACTGTGTCAAACAGCTTCAATTTAAATGAGTTCTTGATTCAAAAGGCATGGCAAGTAAAATTTAACTCCGCTTTCCAAAAAAATGTGGTTAATCACAGTTAATTTATTATTTACCAATGGGGATGGGGGCACCTTCTTTTTCACATAGGGCCAGGCAGATGTGGTCAGCTTTTTTCCCCTTAATAAATGAAATCATCTTTTAAAAACTGCATTTTGTATTTACTTGGCCTATCTTTGTGTAATATTAAACTTTGTTTGATGATCTGAATCATTTAAGTGTGACAAATAAGCAAAATAATTTAGGAAGGGGTAAATACTTTTTCCCAGCACTGTAGATACTTATATTTTTTAATACATACATTCTACCACTTGTGTATGTTTTGAAATATACCAACTTTGTACTTTTCGTATTCCTTGCATATGTAACAACTGTCATAAAACTTTAATAAAGCAAAACTGAACTAATAATGTACTTTATTTTGTCAATGATTGTGTGTGCGTACGTATATCCACTTGCCAACCAGCCACAGTATATACACTGTGGCTAGGCAGTACACGCAGGCAAAATCACATACATGTACACCGTTTTTCCTGCTCCAGATCAGGGGCGTGCGGAGCCCCCCACGTGACCGCTGACAGCGAATTGTGGATCCCGGTACTCTGATCACAGTGCCAACAAAGCTGTTATGAATGAATTCATTCCGAAGAGCTGTGTTAACTAGGCTGTTATTGGCCCAGAGCTGTCATATGGTACCTGGGCCAATCTCAGCACCCTGTACCATTTAATTAGCTGTAGCCAAAAACAGCTGAAATTAATGTAACTCATTCATGATAGTTGAAAACATTGCTGTTATAATGATCTTCATTTTAACAGCAAAGTGGTAAAAAAAAAAAAAAAAATCACCCTCTAATAGTAGTACCATGTTATTATGCTGATACTGAACTACTCTGATGAAAGTATGTAAAAACAATAGTAAAAAATGAAAAAAAAAACTGTTTTAAAAAATTGAATAAAAATGTATTTATTTATGTTTTAAACATAGTCACCAGTCAGTTTCCCTGATTACTGCCACACCAGTCATATGATGACTATACTGCACTGGTGAAAAAAAAATTGTGAAAAAAAAATGTTATTCAGTTTCTTAATTTTCAAAAACATTGTGACAAAAAATTACAACTTCAAAAAACTCGCCATGCCTCTTACTAAATGCCTCAGACTGTCTACTTTCCAAAAAGTGGTAATTTGGGGGACACTTGTACTGTCCTAGCATTTTGGGCCTCAAGAAATGAGAGGCCATCAGTACATCAGAACTAATCAATTTTCAAAAAAAAAAAAAAAAAAAATATATATATATATATATTAGTGGTGCACCAAAATGAAAATTCTGGTGCCGAAACTGAAACCAAAATGTGCAGTTTTTAAAAATGAATATATATTTTTTGGAAAAAAATACATTGATTAAAAAAAACAAAGAATTTATTCCCCATTTGAGGGGCGTGTTTTTTTCGGCACCTGTATCAGTGATTTTTTCATTTCGGCCGAAAGGGGTGTTTTCGGCCAAAATGTTTTGGCCACCGAAATTTCGGTGCATCCCTAATACATACATACAAATATATATATATATATATATATATATATAGACATACACCAGTTTTTTTTTCTTCATTATGCAAGGGCACACTTGAGGGAATCCATCCATATATTGGAGGACATATTTGTGGTGGGAAAATCAAGGACATCAGTAAGTACTCTTTTGATATAATGAGGAGTTTATATATTTACTTACATATGTATTGTTATTGAGTTGGCATGGTTGTTTGATGTATTTTTTTAGATGATTAATGGAGACTGTCTATATTTCCCAAACACCTTAGAAAACAGAACTAAACTCTCTCAGTCAACGTTAACTTTTTTTTACTCCTTATGCTGCTAGCCTTAGTAAATAGATAGGAATGTATATTATATTTACTTATTTTAAACATTTTTTTTACACTTTAGTTATTTCCTGGTTACTGGCCAAAGGTCAACATTATGTTATAGATCCCTTCATGGGCATTTATTTCTTTTATTTGAAGGGGGGGGGGCTATGTTGCCAAAGCACACCATCCTGACTACATGCCTGAACGAAGGGCAGAATGATTCCTGGAAGTAAATGCTATATGAATTGTCTGCCCTTACTCAAGTTGGCTGCAGCTAGATATGCTAGGGGGTGATTTTAAAGGGAATTCTCAGTATATGAAGGATAGCTGACCTTGTAGTGGCAGCAGGACCCTGGAGCACGAGATTTTGTTGGTTTTATTAAACCTGCACTACCTGTCCATTTGGTAAGGTATATAGATTGACAGGTGTCACACGATTGATTGCACTGAGTGATCACTAGTTGTGTGGCGTGGCACATATCCACAGTGTATGGAGGAGCGTGGAACACACAAGCAAGTTTTTACTTATTTTGGGTAAGGGTAGGAACTTCAGTCACTGGATGTACATGTGATCACTGGGACACTTAATTTGATGTAAAGGCACCAATATCATATGCATTAACCTCCCTGGAGATATTCCCGAGTGTAGCTTGGGGTAAAGTTTCAGCACCACAAGCGGTAACCCTGAGCTACACTCGGGAATACCTTGCAGTGCTGCTCCGTGATCTCTTCTTCACTTACCTTATCCTGCACTCCCGCGATGTCCTCCAGTGGATGCCGGCATCTGTCTTCTGGGTTCCGTTCCAGGACGTACGGGGATGGAACTGGCGGGAAATTTGAAAGTTGTAAAACTGACATTCACTAAATTCACTAAAATCACATAATAAAACATTACTGTATCAAAGCATTTCACATACATTTTGTCCCTAGTGCTTTGTCCTGTGCCCTGCCTGCACTTTTACTGTTCTTTCTGCCTGGAAACTGAGAAATGTCCATGGCGTCCAAAAAGTGTCCCTTTAGGTCAAAATCGGTTTTAGACCAGCTAGAGAACAGCGATAGTAAATTAGAGCCACTTGCAGAATTGAGTGATAATGATTCGTGGGGAAATTTATCATCAGACACTGAAAATGATTTTGCGACTTTGCTCAGTGATGTGCAAACTCAGCGCTCTATTTCAAATTTCAGTGTATTTGGTTTGATTATATTATTTAATTAAATTTATTATTATTATATTTATTATTTTTTATGATTATTTATTAAATTATAATTTATGATTTTGTGTTTCAAATTTTATCATACCCGAGATGTTTACTAGACTCTTGTTCGGACAGATTTCAGTGAGTTATTCCTAAAAATTACAGGCCTACAATAAAAAAACTACATATTTCCATGCAAAAAAATGTACCGCTTTGAGCACAGAAATATGGACATAATCAGACCGCTAGGGAGGCTACGGGATAATGCACTATGTTTAGTTTATTTATTGTGAGGTACTAAGAGTTGAAGAGGATGTATTGGTTTGGAGGAACATTGAGAATTGATGGAACACTATGACTGGTAGACTATAAGAAGACTTTATTAGGGTGTATGGGTTTATTCTGAATGATTTTCAATATATATATATATATTTTGTCCATATATATAATATATATATATATATATATATACATATAGTTTGACATTGATATTTTGAACACATCATTCATGGTGACCGATATTGTCTATATTTGATCTGTAACTTCCAGGGTGGAAGGATTTACCGTAGCGGTCCATGGGATATTGTTTCACTGTAGGTGGGTGTGGTTTGTCATATACAGAATTTTATCCTGTTCACAATTGGTGACGTGTGGTTTAGAAATGGTTCCCATAGAAGTCAATAGCCTGTAACCCGCACCTGAACCGGACCGCACTGCTCAGAAATCGGACAGGACTCTTTTTCAATCCGCACTTCCAGTGCACCAGACATACAGTATGTGAAAAGTCACCATAGGAAGCAATGTTATTTCATATGTCATGCGGATTGGATGTGGTTCAAACCACATCTAATCCGCATATATGTGAAATGGCACTCTGTTAAGGGATATCCACATAATGGATTATTGTACACTACTGTGCAAATGTTTTAGGGAGGTGTGAAAAAGATTGTTTAGAAATAAATTAAATTTTAGCTTTAGAAATAGAAGTGTAAATATTTGTTTTTTTTTTTATCAGTTACCAAAATGGAAAAAACAGATGGGAAATTCAAATCGTATTTAGTGTGACCAACCTTTACCTTCAAAACAGCATTAATTCCTTTTGGTACACTTGCACACCGTTTTTGAAGGAAGTTGGCAGGTAGGAGAAAACTAACCACAGATCCTCTGTGGATGTAAGCTGCCTCAAAACCTTCTGTCTCTTTGTGTAATCCCAGACAGACTCGATGATATTGAGATGAGTGCTCTGTGGGGGCCAAACCACTTCCAGGACTCCTTGTTCTTCTTTACGCTGAAGATAGTTCTTAAACACTTGCCCTCCTATTTGTCTTTTTTATGCCAAAACAATTGTACCTATTTATAATAAAATGGTAAACATTTACTGTTTGTATTTGCTCTGTCACATGCAAAGTTCAATGGGCAATTTTATGTTTTTATGGAGAGTATATTTAGGGATGGAGGCATACCACTATGTGCATCAGATCATATTATATTTTTGTATGAGAGATACTAATGTACCCTAGAGGACAGGAGGAGTAAAAACACCCCTACTGTTGAGGAGTCGAAACATGGTGAAAAATTAATATCATGAAGTTTATGACTTATGACGTGAAAGGGCTAAACTCCCCCACTAAAAGGCATAAGATACTCAGGGAAATTCATCAACACTCCATAGATGTAGTTTTTCTTTAAGAGACACATATAACTCACAATACAAACATGAAGATTTTCTCAAAGTAATATGTAACGTGGTATTATGCAGACTCTCCAGTTAAAAGGGCCAAAGGGGTCACGATAGGGCTGTCAAAGAATATGAGTTTTATACTGGAGGGAAAAAGGGAGGACCTAGAGGGTCGATTTCTATTTTTGAGGGGACGTTACAAGGAGTTGAATATACACTGGTTAATTTATATTGTCCAACAAAAATCCAGCAACAATCTTGGAGGGAGTGCTACTAGAGCTTTCCAAATTTAGAAGGGGTAGTCTGGTTGTGGCTGGGGATTTAAACCTGTGTATGGACCCTCAGATGGACGCGTTACCCTGTATGAGGAGAGATGGGGGAAGGAAATTAAAATCATTGAAGAGACTACTTTATCAAAGTCAACTGATAGATACCTGGAGAGGTAAACATCCAAGAGAAAAAGACTACACCTTCTTCTCTCCTGTACATGGATCATATTCAAGATTGGATTACATAATGATCGAGCATAGACAATTAGGTTCGTTGGTTGGTGCCAACATAGAGGTTATGTCCATCTCAGATCATGCTCCCGTCACAATGAGACTACAGGTGGGTGGGGATCAAGATAAAATAACATTGTGGAGAATAAACGAGATGCTTATACAAGTACAGAATTAGAAAAAAGACTAAGGGGGTAATAGGGCAATTTTTTGAGACTAACAAGACAGAGGAGGTATCAGTAGCCATAGTATGGGAGGCACATAAAGCTTATATCAGAGGAATATTGATCTTGATGGGAGCAGAAAAATGAAAGAATGAGGGGAAAATATAAAAACGGTGATTGATGAGCTCTACAAGTTAGAACGGTCACATAAAAAGTAGCTAGGTACAGACGTGTATCAGACGATAAATAGTAAAAGAGAACTAAAAGAACTTATGGAACAGGAGTTGAGAAGGATATGTAATAGGGTCTCAAAGGAAAGATATTGTTGGGGGAATAGATCCAGAAAATATCTGATGAGGAAATTAAAGGAAAAGAAATCGAGAAATTTTATAGATAATATTAAAGATGACAGAGGTGAAATGGTGTATTCTACCACCGATATTGCTAATAGGTTCCAAAAATACTATAGCCGTCTGTATGATGTGAGTCCCAAAGCCAAAAAAAAAAAAAAAAGGAGGAAATGAGGAAAAGGAGACAAAAATATTTAAACAAAGTGGAGCTTCTAAGAATAGCAGGAGAAAAAGTAGAGGCCCTAGAGAGACCTATCACCCATGAGGAAATTAATCTGGCCTTAAAAAACATGGCTAAAGGAAAGATTCCCTGGGCCGGACGGATATACTGTGGGGTATTATAAAAAATTTTGTGATCTTTTAGTCCCTGAAATGTGTGGCTATATGAATACAATAGGGGAAGGGCTGGAAATGAGAGAGGAGGCACATATAACAATTATACTTATAGAAGGGAAAGATAGTACACAGTGTGCCAGTAATACGACAATATCCCTACTAAATTCCAACACTAAATTGTATGGTGAAATATTGGCAACTAGACTAAAGGATTTGATGCTGGAGTGGATACACCTGGATCAGGTGGGATTCATTCCTGGAAGAGAAGGCGTGGACAATGGCCTGAGATAATTCTTCCTGCTTCAAAAGGTAAAAAGTGAGAAATTGCCCACTCTATTCCTGTCAATAGATGCCGAAAAGGCTTTTGATATGGTTAACTGGGGCTTAATGATGGATACACTAGAGGAATTAGGACTAGGACCTAAAATGGCGAAGTGGATAAAAGGGCTCTATAGTGCCCCGTCAGCGGCAGTTAAGGTTAACGGGTCCCTCTCTCAGTTCTTTAAAATGTATAACAGAACTAGACAGGGATGCCCACTTTCCCCCTTATTGTTTGCTATATCCCTGGAACCTATCCTGGCGAGGAAAGGAAGTATATGGATATAACGGGAATAAAGATTGGAGAAGTGGAGCATAAATTAGCATATGCGGATAATATGTTGTTTTATATAGTACACCCTATAATAAGGTTACCTAATTTAATGAAATTATTAAAACAATAGGGGGAGCTATCAAACTTGAAAATAAAACCAACAAAGTCAGAGATCTTAAATATTAACATATCAAAAGCTGAGAGGCAAAATTTACAAAAAGAATTCCCATTTACATGGAAGGAAAAGGAAATAGGCTACTTAGGAATAAAATGGACCCCTTCAATAAAAGCTTTGTACCATGCAAATTACATCCCATTAGTAAATTAAATAAAAGAAGAACTGGGGAGGTTGTCAAAAAGTGGTGCTTCCTGGATAGGCCGTATAAATTTTTAGTAAAGATGGTGATAGTAACAAAGATCTTATATAGGTTTCACATTAAAAATCAGAACACACGCTTAAAATATATTTTGAATAAAGGGAAATTGCACACTTTTTAGATTTAAAGGGAAAAAAGATACATTTTTTACACTAGATGAGTGTCGGTATGGTCAATTAGGTCACTTTGTTTCAACATTCCCACAACCACTGAGGATGTTGGAGGATCAGTACCCATTTGAGAAATTCTTGAATGTAACTATAGCCCCTAAACAGGGCACTTCTAATATTTATAAGATTCTTATGGATATAGAGGGTACCGATCCCCCCCCCCCAGTACTTGGAAAAGTGGGAGCGAGAACTGGGATCAAAGTTGAACGTGCAACAGAGGAATAGTTTATTTAAATTAGCACATGAGGTAACTAATATGAGCACAGTGGAAATAATTATAAATGTATGGCAAGATGGTACATCACACCGAGTAAAGAACATAGACAAGTAGATGTCTCACTTTATGTTGGAAAGGTTGCGGGGAAAAGGGTATGATGGCACATATATGGTGGGACTACCCGAAGATACAAAAATTCTAGGAGGGAGTATTACAATATGTTCAGGAAATATGTGGTATTATTATACACAGAGAACCGTGGATTTGTTTATTTTATAAATTCGAACCTTTGGAAAAACATCATAAGAACAGGGTATTATACCACCTAGCTAGTGTCGC